GTATTCAAAATACGGAACTATGGCAATGGATGTATTGTTTCCGACACGCGCTGTACGCGCTGTACCAATCACAACAGACTGGAGCATCTGACCAATCAGAGCAGAGCAGGCTCACGGAAAGGAATCTTTGAACTGCTTCGAACGAATCGTTTGAGAATCGCTGGAAAATGAGGTGATATTAAATGCATATTTTGAGAAAACAAAAGCGTTTTTTGACCTTGCATGCATGTAATCCTATTGTAGGAGACTCCCAAAACAATATTAGGAAACATAAAAATGGCATAATAGGGGCACTTTAACTGTGTTAGCATTACTAAACCGTTGAGAGTTACCTAAAGCTTTAAGAACTAGATTTATCAGATCATAAACAATAAAAAAGTGTTTTTATTAGAGTATTTGCATGGAATTTGGGGTAAAACCGTAGAAAGGTGTCATAAAATTAGGGTACATTTTGATTTTGTTACTAATTTTAAAGAAATAAAGGCACATTTTAGATAAACTGATTTAACATAAATAACTTAACAAATCATGAAAAGCAGCCAATTTTAACCATATAACAAATTTTTGGTGGGTGGATATTACCACAGTTTAACTGTAGAAACAGTAACTTCAACAATAAATGCCATTTTCTCATTTCATTTTTTTTTTCACTATTGCCTTGACTATTTTTGCCAAACTCAGAAATCCAACATTGGTCCAAAGTTGTAAGAATTGTAAGACAATTTTTTTGTTAAATCTAGACTACCATTCAAAAGGGCTTTGGGGTTGAAAGAAGCTGATAATTCTCACCAAGGCTGCATGTATATGATAAAAAATACAGTAAAAACAGTAATATTGTGAAATATTATTACAATAAAAAACGATATTTTAATATATATAATTTATTTCTGTGACGGCAAAGCTGAATTTTCAGCAGCCATTACTCCAGTCTTCAGTGTAATATGATCCTTCAGAAATCACTCTAATATTCTGTTTTGCTCAACATTTCTCATTATTATCAATGTTGTAACAGTTGTGCTGCTTCATATTTTTGTGGAAACCATGACACTTCTTTAATGAGTAGAAAAGCCAAAAGAATAAAATAACATGTGTCCTTGCTGAATAAAAGTATTACCGGTAATCAAAAAAAAAAGCTACTGACCTCAAGCTTTCGAACAGTAGTGTATGGGACATATAAATTTCCCAATAACTACAAACCAACATTTAGTCCCAAACTAGCTATCCCAGAGTTATTAAAAAACAATATTTAACAAGTAACATGGTTACAAAAATGCAAACCTTATATAAAATGAATTCAAGACAATTTTTTCTGATCTGAATGAACACCGTTTTCTTTAGGAAGGTTAAGCACCTTTATTCACGAACCATTTTTTGAAAAAAAAAACAAAAAAAACCCAGAAAACTATTTTGTGTTCTTTTTCAACAATTTGCAGCTCTATTTGTG